GGGGATGCCAGTGCAATCCCCAACATCACCTTGGACGTGCTGGACAAGTCATCACGCAAATGCATACGCTCCTCGTCTGTAATGCCAGCCCTGCTCATGAGCAAGTTCAAAGTATTATTAATGTACCTGTTGAAATTCTCCTCTCGCTCCATCCGGGCAGTAGGGGTGAGTTTGGATGATGCCTCCACCACCGATGTGATGTCCATAAGCCCTGACGGCACCTTCACCACCTCATCATGTCTGGGGTACTCAAGTACTCCGCAAAACATCATATACTGAGTAAGTAAATTGTCAAAGAAGAACCACCGAATCTGTCGCCCAAACCTTGTGCGGGCCATCTCATTGAGCATGATGTCAGCTACATTTATTGGTCGGCCTATCCTCAAGGAGAAGATGAGACACACCCTAGCTCGAGTGCAGTCACTGCTGTGCTCTGCCGGCATTAATCTCACCTACACAAAGTTCTACCACACTTTGGTAGTGTTGTTGAAGTCTGAGCGGACCATAGAGAGGTGAATGTTGCCTTGCTTCCGTATCCACTTAGCATTGGACTCTACGCCACAAAGAATGTGACATATTTGCTCATACTTCGGCTTTCAGATCAATCGTTGGAGTCTCCTTGGGTCGGCATTCTCAACTCCCAAAAAGTCACACAAATACTCCCTGCCCAGTGGCACATCCCTTCCTCGTACACATGAAGTGCTTCTATGATAATCCCAGTTAGCATATAGCTCTCGTACCATGCTCAGGTTCGCAGGCCCCGGGCATTCCAAGAACTTGTCCATCTATAAAGCTTGCAACCTGTAAAGTATCTCCGGGAATTGCTTCTCTAAGGCTATGGTATTAATCCCCATCTCAGAAATGTACCGACTAGATGACATGAAGTCTCTATGCCAAGCTATAGCAGTAGCATCAACCAAGTCCAAACGAGGCCTCGGCCTCAATGGCACTTGCTTCGATCCCTCGGCAGCCTGTTGCCCTTTGGATTGCCGTGAAGAGCTTTCTTCCTACTTGCGCTTTTTGGTCGCCGAAGAGGTGGTGGAGGTCCAACTCCTTTTCCTTTGCTAGTGCTATCACGAGCCATAGTATCCTGCTACACAAGTAAACATGAATGTGATAATGGTTCAAGAAATATGCCTCAGGTTGTCGTGCAAGTCATGAAATGAGCCCATACTTAAAAGTCGAAGGCACAAATACAAGTATTGCACCTCAAATCTATGGGTACTCAAGACTTCCCCATGATACACAATGAAGATTGATCATGGCAACGTGAATTCTCAATAATTTAAGCAAAAGGCATATAGTATGCACCTTTCACAAATACTAGACTATACTAAGTTAGGCTAACTTACAAGATTCTACAACATACAACATATAAAAGCAATGGTGTAAGAACATGTTCTTCATCAACACCACATCCCCGAGCATGTAAAAGTGACCCTACTCACCCCAGACTTAGCCCAAATGCATACACAATTGCTTCCGGTTACATAGACTTCACCGGTGCACCAAAAATCCTCTTTCAAGCATTTAAACAAACACAATGTGGCCATAAAGTGTGTTCTTATATTTCAACAATGGTGGAACATGGTGGCCCTCCAAATTTTCAACAAAGTAGAGGGAATTCTAATTTACTACTACGTATACATATCAAACACATAATTTTCGACCAAAACACATCACTCACCATAAAAATTTCATAAGAACTATATGAGGAAAACAATGGGGAAGTAGGGCTCTTGGGATTGGGATTATGTTAATCTACTAGTTAGAGTACACCAAGAAAGAGAAGAGAAGAAGAAGAAATACCTGTAAAAGGAGTGCAAGATGGCGAGAAAGAAAAAGAAAAAAAAATTGGAGACACAATTTCCTGAAGAGGAAGAAGGGAGTCGACAGAGCAGTAGCGGTTGGCGCGGAGTTGTGCTGCTTTAGGTTGTAAAATTTTGGGTTGTTTGTGTTTGGGTGGGTTTGGGAAGGGATATGGGTAGTAGTATTAGTGTAAATGGGTATTTGGGTTGGGTTAAATGGGTATGGGATAAAATACAATAAATAACGAAATAAAAAAAATTAAGAAAAACTTACCTGGACACCCCAGCTTGGTGCCTGGCGCCCTTCCTGGCGCTGGGGTTTTCGGACCCTACTATGTTTGGCACCCCAGGCAGCGCTGGGCGCTGGCCTGGGCGCTGTTCACGCTGAAATTTTTTATTTTTTTTTGAATAAACATCCCAATCCCTTGAGCCTTATATATACCCAATTTACACGTCTTACACCATTACATCTGAAATTTCTATACCTATAAAGAAAATGCAATACTCTACCTATTCTAAAAAGAAAAAAAAATAAGAAGTTAACTAGGGATGCAATAAAAATTGGGTTGCCTCTCAACAAGCGCCTGATTTAACGTCGCGGCATGACGTAGAGTCTCACTTACTCATTAGCGAGTACAACCTTGGTCTTTTCACGATTAATCATTCCTCCCCAATAATGCTTGACTCTATGACCATTCACCAAGAATTTCCTCTCACCATTTAAAGCTCGCAGCTCGATTGCACCATAAGGAGTGACTCTTACCGCCTCAAAAGGACCTGACCATCTTGACTTTAGCTTCCCAAGGAACAACAGTAGTCTAGAATTGAATAATAATACTTGTTGGCCTGGCTCAAAGTGACGTGGCTGGATATTCTTGTCATGCCATTATTTTGTGTTTTCTTTATATAGCTTAGCATTTTCATAAGAGTGCAGCCTGAACTCATCTAACTCATTCAACTGCATCAGTCTTTTCTCACCTGCGACTCCAAGGTTCATGTTCAGCTTTTTAATGGCCTAGTATGCCTTGTGTTCAAGCTCAACGGGCAAGTGACATGCCTTCCCATAAACCAGCTTGTAAGGGGACTCTCCAATTGGCGTTTTATATGCAGTCCTATATGCCCATAGGGCATCATCCAACTTTGTAGCCCAATCCTTCCTATTCACACTCACTGTCTTCTCCAATATTTGCTTGATTTCTCCGTTTGACACCTCAGCTTGCCCATTTGTTTGAGGATGATATGATGTAGCAACTCTGTGGCGAACTTCATATTTAGCTAGAAGGTTATTCAACAATCTATTGCAAAAAATGAGTCCTTTCATCACTAATTAAGGCACGTGGAGTCCCAAATCTCGAGAATATGTTCTTTTTCACAAAAACAGTTACCACCATGGCAAAATTCTTTGGTAGAGCAATTGCCCCACCCATTTTGACACGTAGTCAACTTCTAGCAAAATGTATTTGTTTCCTCTGGACGGTGGAAATGGCCCCATAAAATCTATCCCCCACACATCAAAAACTCAACTTCTAGAATGTTATTTAAAGGCATCTTATGCTTCCTTGTGATTGTTCGCGTTTTCTGACATTGGTCACATTTCTTAACGAATGCATGGGCATCCTTGAATAAAGTCGGCCAAAAGAGACCAGATTGTAGCACACTTGCAGCTGTTCTATCTCCTCCATGATGGCCCCCATAAGGTGATGCGTGACAATCATACAACACTAACTCCACCTCTTTTTCAGGAATGCATCTCCTCATCAACTGATCAGCACATTGCTTGTACAAATAGGGCTCATCCCAGTCGTAGAAGTTCACATCATGTAAAAACCTCTTTCTAGCTTCAGATTGGATTTTGGGAGGAAGTACCCCACTCATAAGATAATTCACATAGTCTGCGTACCATAGGGGAGGGTGTTGGTTTATAGCAAAAAGTTGCTCATCAGGGAATACTTCTTTAATTTGGCCACCCTCCTCCACGTGTTCGTGATTTTCCAACCTCGATAAGTGGTCAGCTACTTGGTTCTCTGTCCCCTTTCGATCTCGTATTTCTACATCAAATTCCTGTAGCAATAAAACCCAGTGCATCAATCTAGCCTTAGATTCTTTTTTTGTAAACAAATACCTGATTGTTGCATGATCGGTATGGACTATGACTTTCGTTCCCACCAAGTACGCCCGAAATTTCTCAAAGGCCCACACTACAACTAACAACTCCTTCTCAGTGGTGGTGTAATTCAGCTTTGCATCATCAAGAGTCTTACTCACATAGTAGATGGAATAAAACACCTTGTCCTTCCTCTGGCCGAGCACTGCCCCAATAGCAAGGTCACTCGCATCACACATGAGTTCAAATGGTAAGGACCAATCAAGTGCCACAATAATAGGAGCAGTCACCAACTTCTTTTTAAGTTCTACAAATGCCTTAAGGCAAGCATCATCAAAGTTGAAAGTTACATCTTTTTCAAGCAGCCTGCACAAAGGAGTAGCAATTTTCGAAAAATCTTTAATAAAGCACTGATGAAACCCGCGTGTCCCAAGAAACTCCGAACACCCTTCACTGAATTAGGTGGAGGTAACTTTTCAACCGCCTCCACCTTCGCTTTATCAACTTCAATGCCGCTCCTAGATACTCTGTGACCCAACACGATGCCTTCTTGTACCATAAAATGACACTTTTCCCAATTCAGTACCAGATTTGTTTCTTCACAACGGGCTAGCACCTTGATCAAATTCCTCAAGCAGTCATCATAAGAAGACCCAAAAACTGAAAAATCATCCATAAACACTTCCACGAATTTTTCCACCATGTCGGTGAAAATAGCCATCATGCACCTCTGGAAAGTGGTTAGTGCATTACAAAGTCCAAACATCATTCGCTTGAAGGCAAAAGTGCCATAAGGACAAGTGAAAGTAGTCCTCTCCTAATCTTCTGGGCATATGACAATCTGATTGTATCCTGAATAACCATCAAGGAAGCAGTAATATTCATGTCCAACTAACCTGTCTAGCATTTGGTCGATGAATGGAAGTGAGAAGTGGTCCTTGCGAGTTGCCTTGTTGAGCCTTCTATAATCAATGCAGACTCTCCATCCTGTAACAGTGCGAGTAGGGATTAGCTCATTTTTCTCGTTCTCAACTACAGTCATTCCTCTCTGTTTGGGCACACATTGAACTGGGCTTACTCAGTTGCTGTCAGAAATAGGAAAAATGATCCCTGCATCGAGCAACTTGATTACTTCCTTTTTCACCACCTCTTTCATAATGGGATTTAATCTTCTTTACTGCTCCACACTGGGGGTGGTGTCCATCCTCTAAAAAGATTTTATGCATGCAAAACGATGGACTAATACCCTTGATGTCAGCTATAGTCCACCCAATAGACATTTTATGCACACGGAGTACTCTAAGTAATTTTTCTTCTTGAGTGCTGGTCAAGCTGGACGAAATAATCACGGGCAATGTCTCAGAGCTCCCCAAATAGGCATAGCACAGATGCACTGGAAGTGGCTTGAGTTTTAGCTTCGGAGCTTCTTCAATAGATGGCCTGGGAAAGGTCAGAGTAACAGGCCTATCTAACTCTTCAAATTTTCTAAACCCATGTACATAACTGCAGGACATATTTAGTACTTGCTCAATTTCTCCTATCATTTCATCTTCACTATTTTCTACATCCCCAATCAATACTCGTTCAACAGGATCTACGGGGCTCATATAGGGCACTAACAATGTGGCATCACTCTCCACCACAGAGATCATAGATAACTCTTCATAGTGGGCTGGTAACTTGATTGCTCTATAAACATTGAAGACCTCCACTCGATCACCCACTCTCATTGTCATCTTTCCTTCGCAGACATCAATAATAGCTCGGCCCGTGGCTAGGAATTGACGCCCCAAAATAAATGAGACTTCCTGATCGGGCTCGTAGTCTAGCATAATGAAATCAGTAGGGAATATGAAAGAACCCACTTGAACTAGCATATCTTCAATCACTCCCTCAGGATGAGCAAGGGAGCGATCAGCTAACTGTAAGATAACTGTTGTTAGGCGTGGCTCACCCAACCCCAACTGTCTAACATAGATAGCGACATCAAGTTGATGCTCACTTTAAGATCATATAAAGCTCGCCCAACAACATGTTTACCCATGAGATTTGGATAGTGAAACTACCTGGATCCTTCAATTTCTGAGGTAACTTGCCTTGAATTCTGGAACTGCACTCCTTAGTAAGTGCCACAATCTCGAACTCGGTTAACCTCCTTTTATTTGCCACAATGTCCTTGATGTACTTTACATATTTGGGTACTTCTTGTAAGATGTCAACCAATGGAATATTAATCTGCACCTGCTTCAAGATATTAAGAAACTTTTTATATGCGGTATTATCTCTTAATTTCTGCAATCTTTGAGGGAAGGGAGGTGGTGGCCTTGCAACCAATTGTGGGGGTTGCTCAGCCACCGCCTCTCCAGCTGGCATCTTTGGCTCCTTATCTTTCTCTGATGTTGATTCTATAGTGGTTAGCCTCTCATTAAAAGTCACATGTTTCCTTTTTTTAGAAATAACTTCCTCTAGTTGTCTTTCATTCCTCAACGACACAGCATTAAGGGCCGCCCAAGGATTTGCTTCAGTGTCACTTGGAAGAGCTCCAGCTGGTCTAGTGTTTTGAGCACTGGCAAGTTGTCCCACTTGACGCTCCAAATTTCTCACTGTTGTGGTGAGGCTTTGTTGTTCAACCATCATTTTTTAAACATGTCTTCAAGGTGACTTGTAGGACTCGTTTGTTGTTCAACCTGAGGTAGTCTATATTGTTGTTGAGGTGCTTGAGGCCTGTATTGATTCTGAGTGCCCTGGTTTCCACCCCAAGAGAAGTTTGGGCGATTCCTCCAGTTGGGATTGTATGTGTTCCCATATTGGTTTGTTTGGCTCCTATTTGGATTACCCACAAAGCAGACAGACTCTAGGTTTGCGGGGCACATGTCACTCGTGTGCCCCTCTCCACATATTTCGCAAAAAGCTAGAACGTGTTGTACCTGTTGATTGTTGATACTCAAGTTCATCTGGTTGACTTGATTGGTCAGTGTAGAAATCTGTGCGGATAATGCTGAGATGACATATAACTCAAGAACCCCTGCAAACTTTTACACTGTGTTTCTGGCCATCTCTCCTTGCCAATCCGGGTTGCTCTTGGAGAATTTGTTCAATAATGCATATATCTCGTCAAAGCTTTTCTCCAACACTTGACCCCCAACTGCAGCATCTACCACGATCTTTGTTTCTGAATGTAGCCCTTCTATGAAAGTGTGAGCTAATACTTCATTCGT